TGTTTTTCTCCTATAACCATCTGTGGTGGTGATGCATGAAATTTCAATCTATAAACAGTTTCTATTTCTGTGATGTTGCAGCTAAACCAAAGCATAAACCACTATTACAATGATCACCTCAGGTACTGATTAGGAGCTTTATTCAGTGTTAATTGCTACTAATGTGAGTTTGAAGGCCATTTATTGCCATACTGAAAGCAGCAGCAGATAGTTTACCTCATATTTTAAAGATAACTGGCAAACAGTTTGTAAATGAATGTTAGAATTGTGACTCCACCAAACATCGGTCACTCAGCAAGTGCTTTTCATCATGTTAAAGAGGTTTAATATGTAACCTATATTCTAGCAGTATTCTGTGCTTCTGAGTGGCTCATATTTAAATGTTGCTTGTCATATCTGGTGCAGACAGACAATTTAATATAGTAGTAAAATAAAAAAGTAATAAAAAAAACAACCAAGATAAAACTATGTATTTCGGTATTTTTAAATATTGTGTGTGTGTGTGTGTGTGTGTGTGTGTGCTTGTCTTAATATAACGTAACTNAATGCAACCTAACAAAGCAATTTATATTTTCTTAACATAATGTAACATAAAAACATTACATTACGTTAAATTAAGTTATGCAATGTAAAATTTGAAATAAAATAAATACCTTTAAAGTACACTTAAAATGTAACATAGCGTAACTTAATTTAAACTGAATGTAACTTAACGTATCGTAATGTATCGCAATGCATCACAATGTAATTCACCTTTTCTTAACTTAACATAACTTTACCATAATGTAACATAACTAATCTTATGGTAGTGTAAAAACATAACTTAATGTAATTTAAAATACAAAATAAAATAACTACTTTTAAAATAAACCTATTGTAATGTAACAATGTAATGTAACTCAACTGATCTAATTGCAATTTAACGTAACTTAATGTAACAAATTAATATAATTGACCTTTTCTTGACTTAACTTAATGTAGCAACTTTATTTAACGTAATGTAACACAATATAATGTAACGTATCTGAAGGTAGTGTAACAACATCACTTCACGTAATGTACCGCAGCGTAACCTTATTAAACATAATATGGCTTAACGTAACTTTAAATATGAAACAAAAACTCAAATAAATACTTTCAAAGTAAAAACATGCCATTAACTGTCTCAGAGGAGATGTTTTCTTCACTTTTCATGGCTCATTTCTGTAACGCAATCAGTCTTTGACGTCAACTTTAGTCTCATTTCCGCAATAAATACTTTCGAAAACGGGAGGAATCCAAAGACTCGCTCTGCATCATTCATTGTCATTTTCATCTTTTATCTAATGGCAGGAAACGAATTGCATCCATTCTTGGATCGTGGACTCGCGGACATTCTTCTCCAATTCTGGCTGGGGAAGTGGTTACATGTCTCTAAACAGATCTAGAGCATTTTTGGGCCTTAATCTCAGTTTAATCAAAGGAGCTTCGGTGTGTCACAGCCGTCCTCCCAAATCAGACGCAATCTATCAAACCCAAAAAGCCCCGTCCTGCTTATTTCTTGTCTTATTTCCCCTTAAAGGGAAAACATCTCAAGACATTCTGTAGTTGCTACAGGGCTCATGCACATTTTTATTACAACAATTCCAAGACTTTTCCATGACTTTTCCAAAACTTTCAGGTAAATACGCATGACCTAATGTTTCATGTAAGGTCTACTGTTTCGTCCCGTGACTGTTTTATTTTTGTTTCTATATTGCAGTTTTTCGGTTTCCTGATTTCTTTTGTTTACAGATTGAGCCCACCTGAGTCTAATCTGCTGAGCTAATCAACTGAGCTATGAAGACTGGCTGCAACCGACCAGAAGGCAAGGGAGAGGGGAGACGACATGTCTCACTTGAGCTGCTCCAGTTCCAGATACTAGGGGCTTCTGACTTCTA